CAAGTGGATGTGGCATGCTTGTACTTAATGCCTTCACAATAGGTTTTATATTTGCGGGTTCGGAGCGCCACACAGGTGAGATGAAATCAGTCGTATACGGAGTAAATAATCAGGAGAAACTATGGCCTATGGCAGCGCCGAAAGATGTGGTAGGATGATCGCCCCTCTTGAAAGCGAAGGGGTAGACGAGAGACTCCGTTAGACTGCTGTCAGAAGCCGTATATTGTACAATTAGGCAAGTACGTAATGTAATCAAAGAAATTGATAATTTCACGCGCCCCTGGGCTAGACATGTAGTGTCTGTTGAAAATCTTGGATGTTTTTAGTACATACTTGTACTAATTAGTAGTTGAGGCTAGCTCCTAAGAAGTTAGGGCTCGAGAGCAAGCTCTATAACATTCGCACTGGCTTCCCTATCCAAGAATTCCCAAAATCGAACTTTAACTCCATTTCTCAAAAACCAAGAGGTAGTCAGAATCAGTAAAAATAAAAAGTTTAAAAATGTCTCACCTCAAAGCCTTTCACACGTTGCCATACTTATGCATCAATATTTTAAATCCTTGCACATACAGGCACTGACTGCAGCCAGCCCCACTCCAGAAGTCTCGAACACATGCCATAACGTCGTCACATATGGATGTGTGCGACCAAACGTATAAACCCATTAAACAATACTGTTCAGACCGAAGGACACAAGGATCTAGAGAAAAACAGACAACGTTGAACAAATATCGTTGATGTACTGAAGAGGCAAATAAATGCCAACACACCAGCAGAGGCATAAACAGAAGAGATATTGAAGTTTGAGCTGAAGTTGTAGTCGAGATTGGTCGTCAGTGTTTGTAGTGTAGCGCGATGGTTGGCAAAACGGAAGCATATCCTCGGCCAGCTTTAGCGTGCACACCTGTACAGGAGACAAATCAGTGAAAGCACATATGAACATGCATACGGACGTGTAGTGAAGTGAAGTGGGCAGACATAGCGAAGTAAAGTGCTTGGCCGGCAGTGAATGGGGCTCTTACTGGCTGAGTACGTCAGTGAGGTTGAGCGCAGAAGATGTTGTTGGCTGCTACCCGCTGGCTACCAGGAATTTATGTGACCGACGTACGTGCTAAATGAGAAAGTCAAGAAGTGAGAACCTATATCGCTGCCAACTCGGAACGACAGTAGTAATCATGGAGTCACAGAGCTTCAAGGCTACGCTGATGTATATACATACATTCCTATCAATGCTGACGCTGTATGCGAATACGGATGCGGATACGGATGCTGATGTTGATTATGGATGATGACGATGGGACAGCCAGGTGCTGGCGATGATGGGGAGTGTGATGTGTGCGTGTAGCTCAAGGTGGTGTGGTGTCACAGCTGTTGATGATAGCTGCTTTAGAGGCACCTGAGATTGATGTGAAATTGGATTTATGTGAACAACAGCTTCAGCAGCAATGGCAATTGTATTTACTATGTCGAAAATATCTGTTGTCCGAAAATGTTTTGCTGACAAAAGCCTATGTTATCGCTTTTTTGTTTATATTTTTCGGTTGCCCATTGAGAGGTGTCCATTGCGTGCAATTGACAATTGGCTATGTTGAAATGCATTGAATGAATGACTGGTACTCCGCCGGGCTGCAATTGAACGCAAGCAAACAATGCTAAATTCAATAACAAAAACCATTTGAGCAAAGAGTGAATGCAATACTCGTACAACTTTGAGAGGGTTTTGTTTTGGGGGTATAGGCAGACCGAGAGTGGAAAACATCAACGATTTGTGCAATAATTTGCCAGCTCCACGCTCGTCAACTCCTCTACCTAGGCTCCAGGCCAATGTCTACATACTTTTTCCTGCACATTTACAAAAATTCCAAAACGTTTTCCACTTGCCGTCTACAGGCGAAATGCTTGGCCATAAATAACGTTCTCGCACACACCCGCAACACCAGCACAGGCTGCAATGGCTATATAAAAGACTTGTAAAGTACAGAAGACTATTTGGCTGACTCAATAGCTGGCTTGCTGGTCTTGGTTTGCCGATGCGAAATGGACATCTTCAGTAGCACAGCTTCACCGGTAAGATATGTGAGCATCACTGCACAAACACTCCACACATGGTTTTGCCAGTTTATCTGCCGTCTAAGTGAATTTAATGGCATTTAAAGTTGCATAAAGTTGCAGGTGCAACAGTGCATCAGCGTGTGAATTTCAGATTTGTGCTCGTAACTTACCAGTGTAGCGCCGTTGCTGCTGACTGGGAGAAGGACGAGCGAGTCGGGAGTCAAATAATCACAGCAAATAAACATATCACAGCTGATGAAAAGCAGTTTTTAGTTTAAATGAAGCGTTTCAGCGTAATTTTTGGCAGCAAAGTGGAATGCGTGGCGCTGTGAGTCGTCAGTGATTTAAGGTGTAAAAAAAGTTGGATAAGGTACGAAAAATGGCGTGTGAATTTAAATGGAACGTAGTGAGATGAAATTAAGTTAAATACGGTAGGAATGCTAATGTTGAAGTTGAATTTTTAGTGAGCTTAAAGCGATCTGATCAGTGGCGGATCCAGCGGGAGGGTTTTGGGGGTTAAACTACGTGTCAGTCAGTGACGGACCCACGGGGGTATTTTAATATGGCGCATATGTATGTATAATATGGCGTCTATGTATTAAAAAACCCCCCGTGGGTCCGCCACTGACTGATACGTAGTTTAACCCCCAACGGTGAATTAAGTGACAAGTGAGCTTTAAAGAAGTAAAGTGAAAAAAAATGGTGGAAAGTGGAGTAAACAGTTGTTCTCCAAGACAAGAATGAAAGAAATAAAAAAAAAAAATTAGCTGACTCACCATAAAATTCCCTTATGAATTATAAGATTTTTACTCATCCGCAAGAGGGTACGAGTATTAGTGATTGAAAGTGTTTGAAAACAAGTGCTCTGAGTTTAGTGATGAATTGGTTGAATGAAAAGAAAATTAAAAATTTATTCGAGGTGAGCTGCTGCGCTATAAAGAAATGTCAAAAAAATGAAAATAAAATAAATATAAAGAAAAAATTGGATTTGCCCACGTAGAAATTTAATCGCTCTATTAGCTAAACTTATGTAAAGTTCTATAGGTGCATAGACGCCCTAATTTTTTAATGTGAAAAAAGAAAAGCAGGGAAACGAGGTTCTTAAAGATCGAAATCTCATTGGCTCAAGAAATAAGGTCATAGTTGTTCCACGATAGCTTGAAGCTGCCCATTCCGAATAGCTTACACGATGTACTCAGCTGGTTACACCCAAAATGTCTAAATCTTAGCATCCCAGAGTATATAGGGAGGGTGAGATAACAACATATTCAAGACGGTTGGCAATGGAGGGATAAGACAGGTTTAATGTCACTAAGTAGTTGTGCTTTGGTTGTTTCAAGGAGGTTCTTTTACGTCACCTATTCAGGTGTGGTAGAGAAGCAAGAAATAAGAGAATCGCTACATGCTTTCTAGGTACTCTCAAAAGTAAATTTTTCATTCGTAATTATTTAAAAGATGTACCCAAGAGGTGAGATCCACGCTGGCTATAGTTTGGCCAGCGAAGTGCAACGCGGATGGGTAGAATGAGATGATTCAACCTCAACATCTTCAAAACGTTTGGTATAGCAGAGACTTGTAGCCTGATCCCTATAGCGTGAATTCTCTTCGGACAGTGACCGACTAAAACTCGGAATTAAAATCAATAGTTGTGGTTTTCATGGCTAGTTAAAGTTAGTTTAAATTTCCGAAAAGGGCCCAGTCCCAAGCAGTAGCAAACCCCTCTTAGATTGAGGACAACATGAATTCTGCCTACCTGCAGCCCCACGAAGCCTCCCAGTCATTGTTGAGCGAAATATTCATAAAGTTTATAATGATGGAATCGATGGTGATAGCACCCTGTTTAAGCAAGGGATCAGTATTGGGGTTGTCAGTACTCAGCCTCAGGGAACTGTGGCGTACTATCCTGTGTAATGGAAAAGGCATTCAAGTGTGAATCTCTACCTAAAACCTACAGTTGGCTTTAAAGGCTTCCCCGCAGATAAAAATATTAAGGGACGCTAGGTTTAGGAAGACATCCAGAGCAGCCCCAGGTATTGTAGGGAAAGCTCCCGTATAGTACACTGCAATCGTTATTTTAAGTTTGGCAAGTAGATTTCCCACGCTATTAGTTGAGAGTCTGCTCCACTACACCACAATATTCCTCTAAGTAACATACCCCACGCTTTACCAAAGACCCTTTACATTATCATAACGCTGTTAAGGATTTGGGGGTCGTTTGCTCAACGTGAGACTGCCATACAAGTTTGACTTCTAGGATTACACCTGAATATTTTTCTAACCTTAGAACCTAGGCTTAAAGTTCTCTACAGCCCATTCGTGTCCCCTTAATCATAAAGTTCTTCGAACATAAATTCAGCTACTATTTTTAACTTATTTTTATGGCCTCTGACACACCCTGTGTGACTTAATAATAGAAAATACCTTGACATTTACTCTTTTATACGAATGTAAAAGAGTGAACCCACTCACAGTTTCATGCGCTCACTAAAGAGCACTCGATTGCATGGCGTGCTCGTAGCCAAGCCTCTAACTAGCACGTCACAAGCACGCCACTAAATAGTTTGACGCAATAAAAAGCCCATCGCTGGTACTCGTAAGTGGCATGATAGTATGTAATTGTATGAATGATGTTTTCTTTTTCTTCTATCGATGACCTCAAAAGAGTATGCATTCCAAATTGTTGGCGCTCTAAAATGAGCGAAGAGTACGAAAATTCGCATGCCACACAAGTAAGGTAAAAATAAAAATAAGGTGTGAGGTAGTTAGGTGTAGGTGTGCTTGTGTATTCACTTCGTGGCTGCCACTCTGTTGGTGCCACAACTGGCATTCGCATGGGCATGGCTCGCCGACGACTGCATGCACTGTAGATAAGAGTGGCGGTGTGTAGGTTAGTGTGTGTCGCTTGATATCCACTACTGTGTGTATGCTGAGTTTCTGCTCACTGTTGCTTCGGTAGCGGCTCATACGTTACATACGGCAGTGATGATAGAACTCATCGTTGTTGGGGAAGAGCAGTTTTTCTGCTGTCATCTATCAGTGAAGTTGTGTTTTTGGTATCGTCGTCGCGTTGTCGTTGCCTTTGCCTTAGCCATCGCCTTCGCCGCCGTGTAATTATCTTTTTGTCCATACGATTGGGCTGGATTTTATTTTCGATTTGTGTTTTATGCTAATGATCGTTTCGGTGTTGAAATATAATTTGTAATATAATTTTATTGCGTTTAGTTTTGTGAAAAAAAAATCGCGTTTTCATGTAAAGTGAGAACGAGAAGAAAGTTTAAAAAGTATTGACCAACAGTGTTCGACGTTCGGAGTTTTGAATGTTCGCGAAAAATTCACAGCAGCAGCCACAAAAACAGCAAAAATGTATGTAAGTGCAGTGAGTGGTGTATGGTGGGAGAGGAGCGTTAACTAGTTAAAAGTTACAAAGTGCATTGACGTACAGCGAGTAGAATGTGGCATGCATTTACATGAAATTTTACATATGCACACATGCATATGTATGTATTTACATAAGTACATACACAAAAATTTATATGCTTTGCATACCGACTTACATCAGTTCGCATACCGTTTGTAAGCGGCGCCGTGAAAAGCAAAAAAAAAACGAGATTCTCAACTCGCTCTTGTAACGACAGACGAAAAGTCTGCTTTCGAGACAGCTGCTAGCCTTAGCGCGTACATACATACATATGTGTGGCAAATAAGTTGTGCCGTTTCGATGTGAGGCTTGTGAAAAAACGCAATTCAATCGCTGTGAATTCTACAAAAAAATTTCCTTAACAAATGCTCAAATAAAAACACTGAAAAAAAAAACTTGCGAAAAATCGAATTTCGTTGCGTGGAAAAAGAATTGTGTGTGTATGAATGACAACGAAAATTAACCAACTCCCAACTTTCTTTCTTGACGTTTTCGCAAATACAACATTAGCAGCAGCGACATCAACAACAATTAAAGTATGTAATAGCAACTGCAAAGCCACCTGCTGGCACAGCCCAACCGTCCAAGCGCTGAAGCAGCCAGCTGGCCACCCACAAAATAGCTGAGAGAGCGAGCGAGAAAGCGAGTAGTTGGGAGAGAGCATGCCGAGAGAGCGTTTATGCAAATAAACAAAAAGGGAAGGTAGGGAGTAAAATGTGTGTAAATATTAGGAGCGTTGCTTGGGTGAAGAAATTGCTGCATTGTAATTTGCATTGTAAAGTAAATTAGAAAAACTTATAGAGACGGTGTTAGGACAAAGCAGGAAATTTTTATAAAGAAAGTTACTGTAGCTTATCTGTTACGCCCTAATGGATTTTTAGCAATCCCGCCGTATTTGTGGCTGGCGCACATCGGTAGGATTGAGAGACAAGAGTTTCAAGCCACGAAGAATCGAACAAAGAGCCGCCATGACCAATCTACGGACTGGTAGGACTCACTTTCGATTTATGTTCCGACCAAGATCTGAAATAAAGCTTCATTCTAATTACGGTCATTTTTGCCTTTCGATTGCGGCTTAAAACTGTCCCTTCATTTGTGTAGCAACGTCAAGACGCATACCACAAATTAGTTTCACAAGTTGGCGTAATGTGTTGAATGCTGTTTAGCCGATATATTTCCTAATCCCACCTCCGTTCCTGGGAGTCAGAATAGTCTCATGCATACATCGAAGATTTCTCTGTTATCGCAACATGTTCATTATTGAGGTGACGCAACTTGCAAGCTTCCTCCGCCAAGTTCTGGGTCAAATTGTCGACAAAAAAGGTAGTAGATCTTCGACAAGTTCGACAACAGAAACTTGGTAGTAAAGTCCTTACCGCCTTTCTTCCGCCTAATCCCTATAACCATGACCTAATAGGCATAATGCTACCGGCGCCACGTTATGAGGAATTTCAGTAAACTGGAAGCGGACACATTTAGCTCAGCATGCGAAACATCTTTTGAACCGCTGCTGGCGTCTGCAAGAATTAACCCTTACAGAATTAGGATTCATGTTTTATATGTGTAGCATGTGGTAATGGTCTGCACAACACTGCGCATCTGTTTCCAAGCCATCAGTTGTCACTGGACGGAATATAGTTGCAATTTCGGTAGCCGCAATTCGTTGTGTTATTCTTTATCCTGCGCTGAAATTGGGCTCCAGCAAGAAACAAGGTAATCCCTTCGCCTGGGGGATACACACAGCAAACTCATTTCTTATACAGTTAGACCAGGCAGAATTGGTTGTCACAGTCATTTGCTCAGCATGCGAACCAGCCTTCACAAAATAGTAATTTTTTAAGCATTAGATGCCAAAGGTATTCCGGACCAAACTGAGGAAAACTGCAATGACTAGGCTTAAACCACCAATAAATAATGGGATGAGAGCTACTATGCAGCATTTGGAAACTATGCTTTTGTATCTGTATGAAAACGAGTAGCCACTGCCTCTACTTTTGGTTTCCAAATGAGATATTTCATCTGCTAACCTTCAAATCTGATAATCAAGAAAACATCGAAGTCTTCTTTTTAAATCCTTTTTTTTTTGTTTTTTATGGGGCACTAGGTCACAGTCGCCGAAGTATCGTTCTGAATGGTCCTGAGTTCAAGGGTGTTTCAGAGACCCTGAGGCAATTTCATAGTCTCAGATTTGTCCACACTTAACTCTTCTATTATAATCAATTAGCTTTGGCTTGATTGGATTGGTCCAGCGACCGCAACGCTCAAAGTGAGAAGTCCGTCAAATCCGGAGAACTGCGGGCTATTTAAGCAGAATAGATCCAACCATGAAACCCAGTATCCCACCTACATATCTGACACCAGCAGCATTTTGAACACAAATCTGGAACCTCTTGTCAAATTGCCAGAGTACTGTGGCTATCCATGACTGTCGCCCAACTGAAGAAATTGCATGGAATGAAAAGAAGACTAAAACACCTTCTTTTTCACTGCCGGTCAACAGCCTAAGAGGGGATTCAAAGCCCTCTTAGAACAGCCTAATTGTTTTAGGGGAGCGTGGATGATTGTAACCTCCATGCGGTATCACAAAATACCCCGAGTTTTCATGACTCCTAACTTAGATCTAACTTTCCTCCCGTCAAGGATGATTTTTCTCATACTGTTTTTCCAGATTTCAGTACTCAAAGCAACGAGGCAAAGAGTTTAAAACCGTTTAGGGACAAGTAATATGTATGCGAATAACGTGATAAAACAATGCACAAAAAAATTAAAAAATGTTAAATACAAAAACTGATCGGAGTAAAAAAATATTAAAATTGACACATGCGATCCAGGAAAGCAATAATAATAAATATACATACATATATAATGAGACAGTAAGAATAAAATATGCGCTAAAAATAAACGATGAATAATGCAACACATCAACAGAAAAATACAACAATATCTAAAGCCAACACCAAGTGCGCGAATTTTAATACGCGCTGTAATAAATTCAGTTGAATATTTGCTTAAAAAAATACTTGTTATCACCCAAGCGCAGCGTGCAGAGTTCAAAGCCTCGAACACAAACCGGCTCACCACACCACTCCCAAGCATTAAATCAACAGATTCGTCGGCCAACAATAGCTCGGTGGCTCCCCAACTGGTGGATACAGTGCCCAAAAGAAAGTGCGTTTACGCATCGCTTATTAAATGCAATTATTCGTTTTGTTGTTTCAATAACTAAAAACAATAGCTGGACAAAACAAAAGTGAACAATTCGCCGTTTGATAAGTGAAATTCCCACGTTTAGAGGCAGTGTACGGTGTATTGCACCCACTCTCTCGTGGTGCAGCATACATGTTTTTTTTTGCCTAGGCAGTGCGCGCTCACTACAACCTACTCAACTACTCGCGCTCTCTTTCTCTCTCTCTCAGCTCGTCTGCCGCTCTTTTCGCGACGCACACGCTCTAACAATTTGGCTTCTTTTCCCTGTCCCTCAACAGCACAGCTGCTTTAGCATCATCATCGCCGCTTTTTCGTTTCCCTCCGCTGTAAATTCAACGCTAAACGGCAACATCGCTGCCGTTGCATTTCAATGAGGCCAGCAATAGTAGCAGCGGCGCGGAGCCATTCAGTCTGCACGTTTTCGTTATCAGCCGGGATTAAGGCTTAAGGATTAAAGGTGCTTCAACTGCCTGTGTGTGTGTGTGCGTGCGGAGCAACTGGCGAAGGAAGCGCGCACAAGACGAAGGTGAAGCGGAAGAGCAAAGGTAGTAAAAAAAAACAAGTGGCAGTAGCAGCATCTTCAGCATAAACCGAGACTCAAACGCACAATCCTACGCTTGCTTAACATACAAGTGCATACATACAAACTTACATATTACCTGCTTTTGTGCATGCGTTGCTTTATTTTGCCTAAGTAGTCGGCTGTCAAGTAGCAGCCTGACATATTTGGGATTTACAAGACTTCAGTCAAATATCAAACATTGCTACATACTTACAAACTCGTATATATAGTAAATATGTACATGCATATATGCAACTTAGAATAACTTACACATGTGCTCCCGGTTACTATTCCTACTGCGCCGCAACATACTTTTAAGTGGATAATTTACTTTTCTTCTCAAATCTAAATATATGCATATATGCAAGCGGAAGTTAGTTCGTGTTCGTGCCGTACGTATGAGTATGTTTGTAGCTGTGGCTAAAGCCGGCGTCTTTGCAATGCTTGCAAATCTCAACGCTTCCGGTTTCGGTGCGTTGCGATATTCATGAGTAGCGAAAAAAGCAAGAAAGCGAGAAAGGGAAAACTTATATAAAGAATTTTTAAGTTAAAGGTAAGCAAAGATTTCTAAAGTTTTATGTTATATGAAAGTACTTACATATGTATATGTATGCTAAAAAGTCTTTAAAATAAGGTTATAGTACTTTAGCAAAATATGAGGAAGTCTTGCCTTTCTTTTCGGGCCTTGAAGTATATATTTGCCTTTGAGTTTTATGATTCTTGAGACTCGAATACCGATTCCTCTAGGAAATACCCGTACGTTATCATTGGCCTTCCGTTTTGTGGGGAATTATTCTCTAGGAATGAAAGAAAATAAATTTTTAAGTTTCGAATGGTTTTATGTGGTTGCACAGAGAGCGAGAGCTCTCTTTAATCGTCAGTGGTCTAGGTACAAACTTTCCGTTGGTCCATCCAGTGGATACATAGCAATGCTCCTAAGGGGATGGCAGGACTTGCAAGTTGCAACCAATGGTACACGACAAAGATTAAGGGGCAGTCCAAAAAATTCACAACTCCCTCTCGTGGAATCTCTGAGCGGCTACTAAATCTTAGCAGAGAGGGCTTAAGAGCTCTCACCGGATGTCTGACAAGACACTGCAGACTGAGGTACCATCTACACAAAATGGGACTCTCTGAGGAGACGAACTGCAGGTTTTGTGGGCTAGAGGAGGGAACCTCGAGGCATATATTATGCGATTGTCTGCGTATAACTCAACGTAACGATGTTTAATAGTCGAAGGTTCAGCAAAGAAGAAAGAGAGTTCTTTA